TGTGTTTCATGTTGCTGCTGATGTGTTTCATGTTGCTGCTGATCTGTCTCATGTTGCTGTGTTCATGCGTGCCCATCTGCTCACACAGACTCATGTTCGTGCTGCTGTTTGACGTATTGTTTTTATGCTGTTAGTGCTCAGTGTATATTTAGTTGATGTTTTTCTTAGTTCATATTTTAAATCTTATAATTGTTTTTCTTGTATATTTTATTGTTGGATGTAACTGGGACCCTGTGTACATAATTTTGTTCCACCATCTGTACCACATGAGGTGCGAATGACAAAGAATTTTGAATCTTGAATTTCAGCTACTGTTTAGCTCTTTCGTGCTGGTTTTTTTTTTTTTAGCTTTTTCAGCTAATTCCACATTTCTGAGCTCATTTCAACTTTTTCTACTTCCTTCTGGTAGTTTCAGCTTCTTTCTGCCTTTTCAGCTACTTTTTTTGTTGTTGCTAATTTCAGCCTTTTTAGCTAATTTCCTAATTTTTGTGCTAATTTCTGTTTATTTAAACCTAATTCTTTGTTCTTTCTTCTGCTGATTTAGGCTTGCTTTTCATTTCAGCTACATTTCATAATGTTTTAGCTAATTTCAGCTGTTTTTCAGCAAGTTCTTCTGCAATAAACATTCACACTGCATGTTCACCGGAAGTTAAATTCCTGTCGTGAAATATTTAATCTTAATGATTCTGGTGTCGTTTGAATTGTTGTGAGGTTAAGTGGGCACGATCCAACGCTGCGTTTTGTGATTTTAATGTTTTAGCTGTAAGGATGGAGTCTTCCGTAAATATCACGGCGCTCGCACCAAAGACGACTTCCTGAGCTTTGTTGATGAGCAGAAGTGGAAAGCCGTCGAGCCGGTCTCGTCTTGGTTCGGACCGTCGTCCTTCTTGTAAGTGTGAAGGAAACGTTTTAAAACCGATTTGGTGTTTCGGCTGTTTCTCTCTGCTTCGGTGTGTCGTGCCGCTCCGGAAGCTCTCGACTTGTTTTGGTGTCACAGATGAACTTTTGTAACTCGTCCTCCTCCTCTTCCTCAGAATGAACTCCATGTCTGCTCTGTTCAAGCTCTCCATGTTCATCAGGGTGAGTCGCGCTGCAAACACAGACTTTATAATAAAACGTTCCATCACTTTATCATTTAAAGAGCTGGACTTTTACAGTACAACCTGTGACCTGCAGGGGGCGCCACAGGTTTGTTTTATTTTCTGGTTAAAGTGAACTTTGCTTCAGTTTCAGGCAGGACTGATGCAGCTTCCTTCTGGGCACCTCCTGACTACCAGCAGGAACATTTGTCCTCCACGGAGGACATTTGTGAACCTGAGCATGTCCCACCCTCAGCATACTGCTGAAGTAACTCCTCTACAGAGGACATGATATGATCATACATTAATAAATATGAATAATACAGTTTTGGACATGGACAATATTTATTTTTCCTGGTAGTCAGGACTAAAGCACAGAGTCACATCTTTTGATTTATTAGATGTTATTAAAAACAAAACAAAATTACTTTATGCTGCCTTCAGATTATCACACGTGGCTCGTTTGTAGTTTTGGACATGAGTGTTTTTCAGGACTGGAATTGAACAGAGGGTGAAAGTAAACCTAAATGTTTTTGGTGCAACATATTCAAGTGAGGAGGCGGCACGGTGGTGCAGTTGGTAGAGCTGTTGCCTCTTAGCGAGCAGGTTGTCATGGCTCAAATCCCAACCGGAGGTCTTTCTGGGTGGAGTTTGCATGTTCTCTCCGTGTTGCGTGGGTTTTCTCCAGTTTCCTCCCACAGAACAGAAACAGAGTGAACGGTTGTTTGTCTCTGTGTCCCTGTGATGGACTGGAGACCTGTCCAGGGTGTCCCCCATCGCTCCCGCAGTGACTGCTGGACATGGACACCAGTGTCCCCCGCAACTCAAAAAGGAAGAAGCGAGAAAAGATGATGGATGATCTCCATCCGTAAACTTTTTGTCCCGCCTACTAGGCCTGTCACGATAATAAATTTTACTGGACGATTGTCTCAGAAATTATTGCGATAAACAATATCGTTTGAAAATGGACAATAATTAATTATTATTGTCAATTTTAAGAAAAAATGTTGAAGTTTTGTGTGTAGTACCTTTTTTGACCACTGGATGGCAGTATAAGACTGTTTGAACTAAAGGATGGATAGTGATTTTAAAGAGAAGGGGCGGAGTCAATGAAGAGCACCAGTGTTGAGCTTTTTGTCATCCAGTGTCTTCAGTTTAAAGAGAGAGACACGAAGAAACGATAAAGCTGATAAATGAAAATGAGGTCGATAATTTTAATTTATCGTGCGAATAATTGATTTATTGTTTATCACGAGTGACAGGCCTAGTCCCGCCCACAAGTTTTAAGATAAAGATAATTTATTAAACTTCATCTGCATCACCAGGTGGCGTGTTGTGTTCAGTTTTCCTCACCCAAGGTCAAACGTTATATTTGTTCTTTACTGGTTAAAGATGCTGTTAATGGTTTTTACTGTTCAGTTCTCTGCCGTCGACACGTGCACGCCTTGATGATGATGATGATGATGCTGCTGCTGTGTTTTCAGCGATGTCATAACTACATGACGGAGCAGCTCGGCGTTCCTGTCTGGGGTTCGTACGTCATCTTTGGTCTCGTCACCCTGTTGGCAGGACTGGCTCTGGGTCTGGTGAGTGATTTGGGGGCGCCTTGTTTTCACCTTCAGAACCAGGAGATGTTCTGAGCAGCAGGACGTCTTGATTCAGCTGCTTTAATGTTTGCTCCGTCAGCTGCTGGTGTTCATCGCAGACTTCGTCTTTCCCTCGCGGCGCTTTTCTTCTCCTGATTACTACCAGAGTAAGTCTCGAGCTGTTCCCCCCCCAGCTCTGATCGAAGCTTCTGGAACGTGTCGCATGTTCGAACTCAACGATTTCCTCCTTTTAACGAACGTCCCGCAGAGAAACAGGCGATGGAGCAGGCCCGGTTCATCCAGCGCCAGGACGAGGACCAGGAGGCTGACGCAGAGGAAGACGACGACGACGAAGAGGACGATCGTGACGGGGAGAAGGACGTGTGGAGGAAGAGACGAGGTTCTCCTGAGGGGCGCCCAGAACCTGAAGAGGCTCTGAGGAAGAGGGTGGTGGGCAGCCGTGAGGAAGAGGACAGCTAGGAGTCCGCGAGCTCCTGTCCTCCAGAGCAGCAGTGTTAAAACTCTCCTCCTCCACTCCATCCCACAAATGACACCCCCCCCCACCCTTCTTTTTAGCAGGAGTGCTTTGGACTTCAGCCTGGCTGTGTCCACCTGAGCAGCAGGCTCCGCCCCCCCGGACCATCGCCGGCTCAGGCTGTTTATGCTATGCATCGTTCGTTTTCACAGTGGATTCTAGTTTTTCTATGAATTATGAGAAGTTTGAGTTTTATCTTAATACGATTGAGTTTTATTTGAATAAGTTTGAGTTTTATTTTAATAAGTTGAGTTTTATTTGAATAATTTTGAGTTTTATTTGAATAATTTTGAGTTTTATTTTAATAGGTTGAGTTTAACTGCGCAGGTGAACGTTCAGATGATTTTATTCTAAACGCCGATTCGTTAAAGACGAAGTTTAACGAGCTGAACGTAGAGAAGCTGTCCGGAGCCGTTCACACCTGACGGCTCCAGTTCAGGTGAGTCGAACAAAATTCAACCTGAACTTCTTGAATTTTAACTTCAGGTTTTTATTTCTAGACGAAACATTTTGACGCTCGTTACATCAGAACCATCAGTTTCTTGCTGCGCGGCTTAAAAACTCTTAAATCTTCTGTTTCTGTTTTGATGATTTTATTTTGGAACGTTTGGTTCCTGTCGGCCTTTCATCCTAAAACGTTTCATTATTTTGAAAGTTTGCTCGTTTCCTACAAATGGACATTAGAGAATCTGTTTTAAAGATGGCCGCCTCCGTTCATCGTCCCGCTGATTTAAAACGATTAGAAGTTTTACAACGGAGCAGAACCAGAACGGAGCGGTGCCGCCCGGCCCAAGCTGAGCAGGAAGCCGCCGCTGTTTTCAGAATAAAAGCCCAGGTTTAATCTGCCGCTTGTCGAGCAGAACATCAGGAACGTGGAGACGTTCTGGAGTTTGTCAGAATTATCTTGAAGCAAAAAGGAAGGGATTGAAACGATCCTGAAGAAAAGTTGGGACGTTGTTTAAAATGTAAATAAACTGAACGTGGAAAATCTCCTGAGCTCGTTTTAATCAGAGGAACACGATGAACATCAAACGTTGAACCAAGAACTTGAACCCAGTTTGGAAAATTTAAAAAGTAACGATGAACTTTTGGGCAAAAACACGTCCGTTTAAAGTTGTTCCAGGTCCAGTTGTCCTCCGAGAAACATCTGGTCGTCTTCAACAACCGTCTGCGAGCAGCCAGGACCTTTGTAGGACCTGAGGAGACCGGATGTTGGAGGGAGCGTTGTCCCAGTCTGGTCTGCAGGACTCTAGTTGTTGAACAGTCCTGGGTTCTCTCTGCAGAGGTCTGGACTTCAGGCAGGTCCGTTCAACATCTGGACTCTTCTCCATGAAGCCGTGCTGCTGTCATGATGCACTTTGTGGTTTCATTGGATTAAATATTCAACACCTTGCCTGATGAAGACATCTGGATGGAAGCAGATCATGTTCTATAAGCTGCAGATGTTTCTGCATCGATGGGATCTTTCCAGATGTTTAAGCGGCCCACGCCAGAGGCACTAATGTACCCCCATACCATCAGAGAGGCAGACGTTTGACCTGTGAGCTGGTAACAGGATGGATGGTCTCTGTTTAGTGCTAAGAACCTGATGTCCTATAAACTGACCTCGGAACAGTTCTGGACTTGAGTCCATTTGAAACGAGTTCTGGTCCAGAGAGGATGGCCGTGGTTCTGGATGGTGCTCACATCTGGCTTCTTCTCTGTCTGATAGAGCTTTAAGCAGCACGTGTGGATGAACTGTGTTTACAGACGATGACCTGTGGACGTGTTCCTGAGCCCAGAACAGAACCAGACCTGGTTTTAGTGCAGTGGCCCCCGAGGGCCCGAACACCACGACCTTCCAGTGTTGACCTTCAGCCTCGTCCTCTGAGCTCAGAGATTGTACAGATTCTTCTAATCTGTTGAGATTAAAATCTTTCAGGAACTTTATTCTGAAATTCTTCCACTAGTTTAGATGTTTCCTCACAGGAAGCTGAACGTCTGACAGACTCCGCCTCCTCTTACTGACCTCTTGATAATTCATCTAATTAGTTGTAATGCTCCTCCAACTGTTAACAACCTTAGCTGCCCCCGACACAACATGCCCCCCCCCCCCCAGTTTTGTTTTAATGTTCCACTATAAATCAAATCTGGATTTAATTAAATAATTTTATTTACATTTTGCTCAGCATCCAACGTAAACATGTAGACTTCCTGTAACAGATGGAGCCCAGCGAGGGATGACGGTCACACACACACACACACACACACACACACACACACACACACACACACACACACACACACACACACACACACACACACACACAGCTCCTGGACTCAGCGGAGCTGCGATGTGTGCAGTTTGTGGAACATCGTATTATTCACTCCAAATGAAAACATGTTTTTTCATGCTCCATTAATCTGAATGTTTGTTGTTTTTGTTTATTTAAATTATTTTCTTATGGATGAATGTTGTTTTGGAACAAAGGAAAACATTTAAAGAACAAGAAGTGAGGACGTCTTTCGATGTGACGCGTTCCTTCTGAAGTGCTGCCCCCCCCCCCCAGGAATACAGCACAAAACTAGATGTTACAATTTCAGCTGTTCACAGCTAAACTTTAGCTCCATGTTTAAAGCACGTTTCATTTTTTTAGACTTGTGTAATTTTGCAGTTTGGTTCCAGCGGGACTTCTTCAGCTGACTCGGGACTCGTAGCATTTTGTCGTCGCCCGTCGGTTCTTTAAATAAAACTAAACTTTAAAACTTTGCTTGTTTTGTGGAGTTTTTGAATTTATATTGAAAATAAAAGCTCGGAGCACGTGTTGGGTATGACTCTCAGCTACTACCACAACAAACTTTAGCTTCAAATCTGTAAAATGGACCTCGAGCACATTTAGCTAATGTTGGGCTGGATCCAAATTCTGTGATTTCTGGAGTTTCATCAAAACGTTCGGCTCATTCAGGACGTTCCTGCCGGGACTTCTGGTATTTGAGCAGTTTTGACTTTTTCAAACCTTTAGCTTTGTCGGCCATGTTTTTCCTCACTGAAAACGTATGGAGTTCGTGCCGTTTAAAACTTTTTGCTGCTCATTTCAGCTTCTTGTTCTTTGAATTTATTTCTGATAAGTTCGGCTCTTCTGCAGTTTCAGCTACTTTTTATATTCTGCTAAGTGTAGCTCTTATTTTTGCTCATTTCTACAGTTTGTGATTAATTTTTGCAACTTTTTGTACTCCTTCCACTCTAATTTTAGCTTTTTTAATTACCTTTCAGCTACCCTTACTGCCCAACGTCTTTGCGTCAAACGAGCATTTACTGTCAGAATTAACCTTGTTTGCCTGTTAGCAAAATATCTCATGAACCACAGGATTTGAATGAAGCTCTCACAAAGTGATCATTACGTGCACATCTACAACTGGTTCACGTATAAAGTCAAGTCAGTTTTTAAGAAACGGCTGAGTCCCAGTCAGGTTCACAGATGCTGAGCTTGTTCATGGTGTGGTAGTAGCTGAGAGTCATTCTTCCACACGCTGAGCTCGGCCTCATCACAAGAACTCGCAGCTGCAGAAGTTTGACAGAACAGCTAAAGCTCTGCCTCGTCTCCTCTGAAGATCTGAAACTGCATCACTTCAAGGAGCTGGGCCTTTAATCTCGCCCCTCCTTTGTTCTCTCCGGGGGTTCCTCTGCAGCCGCCTCCACCCTCCTGATCTGATCTCTGATCTCCACCCTCCTGATCTGAT